AGGGCAGGGAGGGTGCGCTCATCCCTCAGGGCAGTAGGACCTGAATTTGGAGGTTCCCCTCAGTTACCACCACGGCTAGTAGTCGCTGATAGACCTATCCTCTGTGAATCTATCTAATATCCCCTTTTAAAGGTGTTTATTCCTGTGGCCATCACTAAATCCTCTGGCAGCGAATTCCACGTTTTAATCACTCTCTGTAGCTCCAAGAGCTCCTCTGGAATGGCTGGGGGGGGGCTTTGAGGATCCTCTTCTTTGACAGAACGTGGGTTCTCCTTCATTTATTTGCTTAGGTCCATTTATACTCAGCCCTTCCCCGCACCAGAGGTCCCAAAAGGGCTTCCACCATTCTGTCCTCCACTTTTATCTTCACAACAGCCTTGTGAAGTAGGCTGGGCAGAGTGTGTGTGATGGTCCAGGGTCGTCCGAGAAGCTTCCGCGGCCAAATGGGGATTCAAACCGGAGTTTCCTGGCACCTGGTCCCACACCCTTAACCCCCCTGAGCCGGGACGCTGGCTGTGGGGGCCAGATCTCTGTGGCCATCACCACCACGGGGGACCTCTGGGGTCTGCTGCCTTGCACTGGGCTCTCTTGGGGCCTGTTTGCTCTGCGGCTGCCCCTTTCAGCAGCTTTCTTGGGGGCTCGATAGGGCAGAAAGCCCTGCCTGCCTGGCACTCCCCTCACGCCATGGGGAGACTGGGCCCCCACTGTTCTTCTGAAGCTCTGCCTCCCCCACCTTGACTGACTCACCACTCTCCACCAGATCAAATCCAATAAGGACAAGGAGATCCCCGTTTTCTACAGCATCACCGGGCAGGGAGCAGACAACCCCCCTGCAGGCACCTTTACTGTGGACAGAACGACCGGCTGGCTGGAGGTGACCCGCCCGCTGGACAGAGAGGCCATCGACAGATACATCGTGAGTCCCCTTGGCCCGGGCGCAACTGGTGGGGGGCCCTCATTAACCCCTCCAGGGGCATGCTTGGAGGGGAGCCGGTACCCTTGCCGGGACTCCAAGGTGGGCGGGGGGGAGTCTTCAGCTGCGCCCCAGAGGTGAGCTCTGCGGATCCCTTCCCTGAGTGTGGCCTGGAGCTGGTGGTGGGCTTCCCCCCAGGTGTCTCTTGCCATTGGCAAGGGGCCTTGCTCTCGGCACTGAAGGAGCGGGCAATGATCATCAGGCATGGCTCATGGGTCTGGTTTTGATCCTCCCCTTCCTCAAGAAACAAAGTGTAGCAGAGGTTGTTTTCCCCTCCTCCTTCCATTTTATCCTCACCACAACCCTGCGGAATTAATTGGGCTGGCGTATGTGGCTGGTGCCAGGTCGCCCAGTGGGCCTCGTGGCCAGGGGGACTTGAACCCACGTCCAGACTGAAATGGCCACTGTGCCTCATTTGGCTCTCCACCACCTGGCTCCTGTAAACATTTTCTCGGGTCCAAACGGGAAGCTGGCAGTGTCCTGGAGAATCATGGTCGTCGCCTGCTTTTCTCCCCAGCTCTTCTCCCACGCAGTGTCTGCCAACGGAGACGCCGTGGAGGACCCCATGGAAGTGATCATCAAAGTCAGCGACCAGAATGACAACCGGCCCCAGTTCACCCAGCCCGTCTTCTATGGAGCAGTGCAAGAAGGAGCCACGCCAGGTAGGCAGGGTGCCTGGGGGAACAAGGGCGGGCTGGACCAGATGCCTTGGGCGCACTCCTTCAGGAGGCTGTTCCTGACTTGGACCCGGACACAGATGTAATGGAGGAAAGGGGGGGGAAGGGGGCCTGGCAGGGAATTCCAAGTGGTGCCAGCTGACGCTTCCTAGCCAGACGTGCAGCATGGCATGGTAGTCTAACCGCAGCGTTTCCAAGGCCTGTGGATCTGGAGTTGGGTCCCTGCAGCTGCCTAGCACAAGAGAGATGCGAACGGTGCACAGATCCTGCCTGGCTTGCACTCAGCCAAGGGGGGAAGGGTCTTCTGCCGCCGTCTCAGGCGGACTCGCTTCTGCATCCTTCCTTGGGTGATCCACTTCTGAAGATGCCTTTCTGCTGCTGCTGCTTCTCTGGAAACGGAGTTTTGACCCTTTGGTTCCACGTCCCCAGGGACCACCGTGGTGCAGGTCTCGGCCACTGACTCAGACGACGCTGTGAATACCTACAACGGGGTGGTCTCCTATTCCATCCTCAGCCAAGTCCCTCCAGAGCCCCACCCCCAGATGTTCACCATCAACAGCGAGACGGGCATGATCAGCGTGGTCGTATCTGGGCTGGACAGAGAGGTGAATGTTTGAGCAACTCTGTGTGTGTGTGTGTGTTTGCACACCTGCCCAGGGTGGTGGTGGTCAGGACTGTCCTGAGCAAGAGGAAGCCTTCTTCGTCAGTAGCTGTAACTCAGTCTGATGGGAAGGACTGAGGACCAAGCGCCCGGCTAGGCACTGGACGGCTGCCTCTGAAGTCAGTCCCCAAGAAGAGGCTGCAGTCCCGTAGGCGGCTAGGGCTGCCTTTGGCTCCTTCGCTTGCCCCCGCACAGTCTTGGGGAAGGAAAAGGGAGGGCCCAGCGGGGGCCCTGGAATGCAACACCAAGCATAGCAGTCAGGATCAGTGTTCCCTCTAAGCTGAGTAGGTGTGAGCCAGCTCACCGTGTTTTAGCCTCCGGCTCACACATTTTCCTCTTAGCTCAGAAAGAAGGGCTCCAGAGAGCAAACTCATTGATGCAGTAGCCAAATCACTCGCTCACACAACTTTAATGCCAGTAGCTCACAAAGTAGAATTTTTGCTCACAAGACTCCACAGCTTAGCGGGAGCATTGGTCAGGGTGTGATTGGCGGAAGCTGGAGTCAGGGCGGGTGGAAAGGAGAGCTGAAGGGCCGGCGGGTAGATCCACGGAGGGGAGGCTCTCCTCCAGGGTAGCAGCTGCTTGGTATGCAGAAGGCCCCAATCCAGGCAGCAGACGGGAGACACCTCTGCCAGGGCCCCTGGAGAGCTGTTGGCGGGCAGAGGCGATGGGACTCACCCGGAGGGAACTGTGGCCCGGCTGAGCACTTGGCTCCGTGTATTGAACAGCCCTGATGCCTTCTGGGGACTTCCTTTTCACCCATTCTTAAAATGGTGTCCAATTTTACCTCACATTTTGTTTATTTTGGTCTTTCAATTAGCCTGTCAGTAGGGCTGTGGCCTCTGACTGGCGGCGACACTTTGGGGTCTTGGGCAGAGGACGGTCTTCTCTACACTCGCAACCGGAGATCTGTCATGTAGTCTGGGAAGAGAAAGAGTTCCTCAGCTGGGGGGGGCGGGAATGTACTACAAGGATGCCCAACGTTTCTGACCCCGTTTGCACCTTTGGAATCCAATGGAGTGGTGGGGGAAGCCTCAAAATGGCTGCCACGGCCTACCTTCAGGCACGCAGTGAAGATCCCTGTGCGGTGGAGGCAGGTGCCGCTAAAGTAACATTTTGAAAAATCTGCACAGTCAGTGGAATCTCTGATAGCCAATCCGAAGCCTCACCGCTCTCTACAGACACTTGGCAGGTACCCGTAAAGGTACCCGTGGGCACCACATTTGAGATCTGTGGTCTCTGCCAGCCTTCTGGAGGGAGACTCTGTCATAGATCTGCTCCCCAAAGGCCTGGCATCTGTGGGGGTCTGAGGGGGCAGAGGGTCCTGCCCTCTGGCTATGCAACCAGCCCCCCGGAGGAGTGTCTCGCTGGGGCTGCAGGTCCATCCACCTTGGAGCAGACGTGCATTTGCCGTGCAGGCCACGGTGGTGTGAGGCTTCTTTAATACTTAAGATGGCAACATTTGGTGTGAGAGTGAAAAGAATTTGAGACAAACATATAGGAGATTCTGAGCTCTCTTACTATACTTCGTACACTTAAGAAGTTAATTTTTTTTGGGGGGGGTTACTTTACGGCAATTTTTAACAACTTGATGGGGGGCTACTGTCCTGAAGGCCATAGCACAAGTTTCTCCTTCTTTATTTGGACGTTGTCTTCTGTTGTTCGTTGTGGTGTTTGCTTGTTTGCAATGAAGCCTGTCTGGGTATCTGCAATTCTGTACCCCTTGAATCCTGAAGGGATGCTGTTTCTGCGCCGTAGCTCCAATTTTACCCTATATGGATTTGTATTTTCCGATCTATATTTAATCTGATCTCCTATTGTATGTGTATACGTATGCCAATAAAGGCTTGTCAAATGTAATGAAAGGATGCTGTGATCAACCAAGACAGGCGTGTGGGTTTCTTTTCCTGGGGAGGGTCATAAACTCAACACCATTCCACGTGTGTTCTTTGCTTGCAGAAAGTCCCTCAGTACAATCTGACCCTCCAAGCTGCGGACATGCAGGGACAAGGCTTAACCACTACAGGGACAGCCGTGATCACTGTCGCTGACTGGAATGACAACCCTCCGAATTTTGACCCAGACACGGTAAAGTGCCTCCTTCTTCTCCCCCTTGCACTTGCATGGCATGTTGCCAGTTCCCAACTGACACTCTTCACCCCCAGAATACTACCAGCCTTACCTGTTGACTTGTTGGTGGAAAGCTTTTGTACATTAAGAGTTGTGCGACAGTGGAATCAGCTGCCCTGGGAGGCGGTGAGCTCCCCCCCCCCCCCACTGGCCCCTTTCAACGAGACCCGGGCAACAGCACTGAGCACGGGGTGGGACTAGATGGCCTGTCTGGCCCCTTCCAGCCCTATGGTTCTGTGTTGGACAGTAGGCGGGAGATTATTATGGGCTGTACCACCCGTCAAGGGGATGCTACTTAACCACACTTTCCCTTTGTGTTCCAGTATAATGCGGTCGTGCCAGAGAATCTGGCAGGGTTCCTGGTTGCCAAACTGAAGGTGAAAGATGCATATCAAGAAAACACTGATGCCTGTAAAGCAAGATACCAGATCAACTCAGGGAACGAGGGAGGGGATTTCGATATCACTACCGACCCTCAAACCAACGAGGGCCTCTTGAGAACAGCTCAGGTGAACACAGGGTCATAAGAGAAGTCATGCTGGATCAGGCCAGTGGCCCATCCAGAACAATGCTCTGTGTCACACCGTGGGCAAAACCTGGGTGTTATCAGGATGTCCACCAGTGGGGCTCCAGAAGCCCTCCCACTGTGGGCCCCCCCAAGCAAGTTTGGTGTAGTGGTTAAGTGCGCGGAGAACCGGGTGATTCCCCACTCCTCCTCTTGCAGCTGCTGGATGACCTTGGGCAAGCCGTAGTTCTGGCAAGAGCTGTCCTTGAAAGAACAGTTCTTGAAAGAGTTCTCTCAGCCCCACCCACCTCACGGGAGAGGGGAAGGGAAAGGAGTTTGTAAGCTGCTCTGAGACTCCCAAGTGAAGGACGGGGTAGAAATCCAATCGCTTCTGCTTCTTCACCAAGAAGCCCCCTTCTTCCTTGGGCAGGAGGCTTGCTGGTCTCTGGTCTCCTTGGCCCCTTTGCCTTCCGGTCAGCACTTGCCCGGTTGCTGCTTGGCACCCCCTAAGTGCTCTCCCCCACCCCCGCCTTGCATCCTTTCCAGGGCCTGGACTACGAGCACACAAAGCAGTTTGTCCTCAGAGTCTCTGTGACGAATGTCGCCGACTTCTCAATGATCCTGCCGACGTCCACAGCCACCGTGACTGTCCGTGTGAAAGATGTGAACGAGGCCCCCGTCTTTGTGCCCCCTGTAATGCGTGTGACGCACTCTGAAGATCTCCCCGTGGGGGAGGTGGTGACCACCTACACGGCTCGGGATCCAGATAAGGAGATGAAGCAGACTCTCCGGTACAGGGCAGGGAGGGGCAGCCGGCCTGGGTCAAGGCTTTGCAAGGAGAGACGGCGGGGAGGCAGTGAAAGCCGAGCATGGTCCCTTCCGCCATCACAGCCCCAGCAGGCTGCGGCTTCCAGCCCAAGGAGGGTGCGCTCCCGACTCTGCAGGAGAGCTGGCCGGGAAGCGGCCTGGGCGTGGTGGGGACGTTGGGGATGTGTTGTGTCCATTGACCGCCCCGGAGGTCAGTGCACACTCCTGAGCTTCAGTCCGGTACAACAATGGGGACTAGGATTCTAGTCCCTCCACAGGGGGAACCAATGGGACCTTGGCGGGAGATTCAAACCCACCAATGGGACC